TTATGACAAAGACTTGATGTATGCTTGAGCCTCGATTATTGCACTCTTACAAAGTTTGATGTTTGATATATTTTAAAGGCAGGGCACTTCGTAATCATGCAATCAAAGAGAATCCTTAATGCATAAATGAAGTGTGGAACAGCCATTGATTAAGTATTCTAGATATGCAGCCTCAAGCTGCTCAGATTTTGGATTCCATTTCCGTTTCGTTCAATCACTATACACACAAAAAAAGCGAAGCTGACTTCAAACTGATCTTCTGTGACAAGCTCTCAGATCACACTGCAAACTGTCAATCAGGTAGATTCAACAAAAGTTCTCCTCAATGCAGTTAATTGCAAAGAACTTTCTTTTTAATTTAGCAGTTGAAAGTTACTACAGATAATGAGCATCCAACTTAATCAAATGTAATGGGTTAAATGAATAAGAATTTAAACTGATGAAAAAATAATCTTGAGAATTATTGAATCATGGAAAATTCATGTAAAGTGAATGTAGAAATGTACTTCTGCTGTAATATTAAAAAAAGCCTATGAATCAGCACCGTGTAAAAGAGAAAAACAAACATTTCTTCCAACTATTTTATCACCAATGCAAAGTGAATGGAATAGTAAAGTAAATTTCTTTTCAAGCCATAGTTGGATGTAAATTTCTAGCAGTTTTTGCTTAATTTCATGTGTTGAATTTTCGCTTTTTTTAAAGTGTATTAGTAATAGCTGCTATAGAGAAGGATATTTGTTGCTTTTACTATTTCTAAAAAGGATCATAGGGTCGAGGTTTTTTGTTCAAGTTGGTGGATTTGAAAAATGACTTTGGACCTTATGGATAAATTGGATTATTTGGTTCAGTAACATAGAAAATCAGCATAGTGGTAACTTTAATTTGTTGGTGCCAATATGTGTGAGCTAGAGGAGTCCTGTAGCTCAGTGGTTAGAGCAGTCACCTTGCAAGTGAGAGACCTGAGTTCAATTCCAGGCAGGGCGAAACCTTGGGCAAGTTTCCTTACTCCACAAGCCTGATAATAATCCTTCAAAAAAATAATAATATTATAAATAATAATTTGGTCACTTCATTCAACAACTGTTTGTGGGACACTGCTATGCAAAATTGGCTGCCACGTTTTGCCCAAAAATATATAGTCAATTCATTTTACAGCATATTCTGTGAAGTGCTTTGAGACATCTAGAAGATGTGAAAAGCGCTACATCAAATGCAAGGATTATTATTACATAAAATGAGTACTTTTAATGTATCATTCATGTGAACTGCATTTCACTTGGACTCGTCTTGCAAGCGAGAGGACCCTGGTTCGATTCCCGGATGGGGCAAAACTTTAGGCAAGTTTCCTCACTCCACATGCCTCTGTTTACCAAGCAGTAAATGGGAACCCAGTTTTTAGTCGATTGACGGATCGCTTTTCCGGGGATAATAATCCCTTCAAAAAATTTGGTCACTCAACCCACCACTGTTTATATCAAATGCAAGGATTATTTTTATTATTAAAAATATTCACTCACTACACTTTAATGTATATTCTGTGAAGCACTTTGAGACATCTCAAAGATGTGACAAGGCGCGCTTTATCAAATGCAATGTTTATTATTTATTGTATTAATGTTGAGAAAATTGTGATATCATAGGAACTGGTAAGATCAGACACAAATCATCGTCCAACATCCAACTGTATTTTGAGACTTTGGCTGCCTTGGAAACAGATGTTACCTGATTATTTTTAATTATTCATTGAGCCAAATACTCAGTGTTGTGCCTCTGATGTGATAATGGCAGCATTTGTGTGAATGGAATATTTCTTCCTCACAAGATTATTTTTAAAAATATTTTGAAGTTTACATTATTCAGGATATTTAAATATTTACCACCACAACTCCTCAGAGCCTAGAATTTATGGAGATTTTCAGTTTTTAAAGGAACTTTCATGTACACCATAATATGTGTACACCCATGTTGGTTCTGGGAGATTTTTTTTATTCTTTACATTAATAGCTATTGTTATGCTGTAAATAAAATAACTAAATTGAACAAGATTATATCCTACAATATTATTTTGCTTCAGTTTACCTGGACATCACTTTGTGAACATCAAACCAACTCTGTTAAAATGCTTATCACCAAAGACCCCAAATTCCTCGCTTGTAAGACCATTTTGGCACACAGAATCATAGATTTTTAAATTCACTGTTAATTTGGAAGGTGTTTCTCAGTAACTCTTAAAAAAAGTAACTGAGAAACGCCAAATTAAGCCTGAAATTACGAATTTTCCATAATTCTGTGCTTGAATTTTACGACAAAATGATCTTCCAGGTTAGGAGTACGTAGAATTTTGGACCTCAGATTTCTAAATAGTAAACAACTTAAACTGAACACAAAAATAAATATCTTAAATCGCCACAATAAAATTGCTTTCAAAACTTCCTTCAGACTAGGCAAGAATGTTAAAATAGTAATTTTACTTTCAGTGCTAACCCAAAGAACATTTGATGGTTATTTTGTAATTCCATCTTTATTTGCAACAAATATGTAGTGTCATTAATTACAGTAACGTTGCTGTAAAGTTGAAGTAAAGTTGCTGACATCCTTGCTGTAGGTGCCTTGGCATGTAGTTTACATTGTATGATATCATATGGTACCTAATAAAGTTGATTTGTTTTGTTTAACTGTGGCAGGCTGCTTTTTTTGGGACACTCTCATTTCTATGATCATATGTTTAACAGTGTGGTGATTCTCAAACGGATGTCACCATTAACCTACAACTGTTAAAAAATAAAACTAGTTGCCACAAAATCAAAGCAGATCAAAAAAGTCTGTTTGAGAACTTAGATCAAACCTTAAATATTAGCATATTTTCTCTTTCAAGTGCTTTTTTTCCAGTGGTTGTAGTTTTGCTGTTTGTTCCATCCATTAAAAAGATTTTTTTTTAATTTATGTGATTAATTATGAAATAGAATAAAATATTGGGACTAATTTACTTGTGAACCTAACATTCAAGAATAAAAATGTTTGTGTATATAGTTATAATGATAATAATAATCCTTGCATTTGTTATAGCGCTTTTCACGTCGGCGAGACGTCCCAAAGCGCTTCACAGAACACACTGTAAAGTGAATTGACTGTATATTTGTGGGCGAACGCGGCAGCCAATTGCGCACAGCAATGTCCCACAAACAGTCGTAGATTGAAAATGACCAATTTTATTATTGTTTTTTTTTGGAGGGATTATTATTAGGCGTGTGGAGTAAGGAAACTTGCCCAAGGTTTCGCCCTGACCTGCCTGGAATTGAACTCAGGTCTCTCGCTTGCAAAGCGAGTGCTCTAACCACTGAGCTACAGGACTCCACAAATTATAAATTACTTGTCTCATTTAAATAATTAGAAATTGCATTTCTATTATCAAAGTTCATTTATTTTATTGCCAGAAACATTCTTGAACGAAAAATCAAACAATTGCCAGACAGATATCAGTCATGTTTATCTACTATTTGCCTTTGAATTCATATCTTAAACATTGTTGTAAACTGGACAGCTGATCAACTTTGAACAGGACAAGCAATGAAACAGAGTGTCTGACAGCAAATTTGTATATTTTCACTCTATTCTGCTATATCTTCTTTGTAGGGTAGATGGATAACTACATATATGTTGAATAACTGAATCTTGGCAGATTAAGCATTCATCTTCTTGCCCACTGTCTTAGTCTCGAAATGTAATTTAAAAGCAGTCAAATTTAAAATTCTCCCTCAGGCAAAGCCATGTAGGTTTTCAGGAAGGATGGATGGTACAGACATAATATTAACATAGTAGATTCATTATCCATTAATGCTTTGACCATATATTTAATTTTGTTCGATGGTTGCAGTTAACTAGCACATTGGAAGTATCCCTAGAAGTTGATGGTGAACTGTTGAATGCAGGGTTGTAGTTAACAATTTGAAGTTTTTACACGCCAGCCGATCCATTACTGATTCACTTTCTGTCATAATTCCCAAATTCTATCCTTTGGCAGTGCTTCTTTGGTTCTTCCACAGATAGTGGAGGCCAACTCTCTGAAAATGATCTTACAGAGTAACAATACTTTTGATTGATATAGTGCCTTATGATGTCTTTGAGACATCTCGAAGCGCTTCACAAAATACACAAAAATATGTTGTGACTTGTGATGTTCTTCACCTTCTTCCAGCCCAAATCCTGGCTCTCAAGTTTAATCCTTCCCACACATCCATGGATTTCAGTTCAGAATGGTTGGATGGATTGGGAAGTAGGTAAAGCAGGGGCTCACACAGAGAAAATTGGGAGTCAGTTCTTGGATTTAAAAAGGTTGGAGAGGATTGAAAAGATGAGTCTGGGAGAAGGAGAGAGGGGACTGGGAGATGATGATAATCTTTTGGATTTGGCATAGTGTCTTTCACATTGGGAGATCATCAAAAAGTGCCTTTACATTATTTACTGTTAAGTGGAGTGATTGTCTTTTGTGGGTGAATGCATATTTGCACGCAGCAATGTCCCACAAACAGCCATGAAGTGAAAAGTGATTGAGTGATACCAAGCTTGGGTTCCAATATTATTTTGAATGTCGAATGTAATGAGAAAGTAGAAAACTGGGAGATAAGGAGTTTGTTCAGCAGGCTTGGGGCTGTGGGGAAAATGAATTAAACAAGGAGTCAGCCTGATGAATGTTGATTTCAACACTGGGGCATCTTTTTCAAAGTTTGGAAGGAGCATGAGAAAAACATTCAGATGACCAACATAAGTCTGTTGCCCTCTTCTGTGTTTTTTAAGCTTCAATTATTTTTTATTTTTGGCAAATGGTTTAACTTCTGAAATCTTCTTGTGTGTTGAATGATAAGAATCCTCATTGTAATAAAAGAATTGGACTACCAAAAAAAAATTAATCAGCTTTTTAGTTTCAGATCAACCTTGAATTGTGTCATTTTAAAAAAATATAAATTTGTAGTTTAAATTCATTTTTTTTGTTTTTCTCCAAGCTTGAAGGAATACCAGCTGATGTAAGGGCGACCACTGTTGGGCGTACTTCTCCACCTCCTCCAACTGCTGGCGGAGCCCCAATACCACCTCCACCTCCACCTCCACCTCCATTAATTGCAGCATCTGGGATGTCACTGGCTTCAGGAGTTCCTCCACCTGCACCTCCAGCACCAGGTTTTGGGGGCAGTCGTTGGTCTCCATCTCCTCGTACATTGCCACATGGATTGAAACCCAAAAAGGAATTCAAGCCAGACATTAACATGAAGAGAATCAACTGGTGTAAGGTATGTATATTTTTGTAAGCAAAGCTGCCTAAATATCATAATGCCTTTAATCCTTTTGATATATTGGAATTTAGTGAGAGCAAGTGTGTACAAATAACGAATGGTCTCCTTTGTTTTCATAAAATGCAAATGCTTGGAGCCACCTGGCCTTCAATTTTTGCATTATTTTGGATTTACTAGCAGCTCCAAAACAAAATAGTCAACTTGCCCTAAAGCAATATAAAGCAGTAACATCTTGCATTTTTGATTATCAGATGAAAATTAAATAACAGCATGTTGAATTAGATGAAGTAAATGACAAGAATTAATTTACATAAATGTATTAATTAGTATGAGACTTTATCCATTCCCACTGACACCTTTGATCTGAAGGAGTTGATGATACACCCAATTTCTCAAATTACAAGTAACTAGGTTTAGTTCATCTATCATTCTACTGGAACAGGGATCTTGCAGTGAAGATTTTTTCTAATTTTCCCAAATTTATAAAATGTTCCGAATTTGTTGCTTTGTCTGTTTCATCTCAACCATTCATTATACCAACCCTTTGTCATTGAGTTATAGCATTAACTGAATGACAACTTCTTAAATTGTTCAGAGTAACTAACCTTTCTTGAAACCTCTTCCAGTTTTTGATTGCCCTTTGCATAAATAAATATGACCTTGCTGTGTGTCTTAAAATTACCCATTCTCTTGATTGTCTTGTTGCTTTCTATATCTGAAAGTATTATTTCTGAGTTATTTTCTCCGTCTAATTAAGCATCATATTTACCTATATAAGCTCCATCATATTTACCTATATAAGCTTCTTCTCTAACATATCTCTTGAGGCTAAAGAGCCTGATCTTATCTAGTCATTCCAGATTGTTTAACCTTCCAATATTGGATGGGGATCAGCTTAATTTCTCTCCATACTTTCTCTGAGGCCAAGACATCTTCAGAATTATACACAGTGTTCTGGATGCAGCCTGACTATAGCACTCTACAGTTTCAGCATGACTTCTAGGAATTTGAGCTCAGCTAATCTGAAAATAGGGCAGCATTCTGTTTGTTTTGGCTGTTGCATGCTTTCCCTGTTGGGCCAGTGAACTGCAAGCTGCAAACATCCAAGGTCTCTTTCAACATCCCCCTAAGCAAGTTGTCTCATACATTTACTTCCAAATTTCACTGAACTGTCTGCATCAAATGTAATTTTCCAGTAGTCAGTCCAGGTCTACACTCTGTTGAGCTCCCTTTGTAAAACCTTTGATGTATTGTTTGATTCAGTCATTTCCCTCCCCCTTCCACTTGGTATCTGAGTATCATTTGCATATTTAACTACTCAGCATTGAAAAGCAGGGTCATTTATATATCCCAAGAGTAGGAAGGGTGCCATAAAGACCTTTGAGTCACTACATCAATGCTTGCCTCCAGATAGCTTCTCAGAATAAGCAGCTCCAAAATAACTAAATTTGCACGGTCAATTGAATGGTTGACTTTGATTTTCCACATTAAAACAAAGCCTTAAAATTCTTAGAATGTAAACCCATCATTTAGTTAAATTCACTTAAGAGCACACCAGTGAACGATTGCTTTATATAAGATTTATGAATAAGGTCAAGGTGATAAATGTAAATTAATGTTTTTTTGATAGACTGTGATTAACTCCAGAACTTAAACTTCTAATTATCTTAAATTAAGTCTGACAGCAATTTACAATTTAACAAAGGACATAGTCAGTGTGCTACATCCCTAAATTGTATTTATAAATGGGAAAAAATTAAGCTTGATTTTCATATTAAAATAAGAATAACAATCCTTGCATTTGATGTAGTGCTTTTCAAGTCAGGAGGATGTCTCAAGCACTTTATGGGATTTACTAATATAATATATTCTGTTGGCAAAAGCAACAGCTGATTGGTACAATGTATCCTACAGATTGTCATGAAGTGATTGACCATTTGTTTGGGGGATTGTTGGCCATGGAATGGGGAGAAACCTCCTTCCTATGTGAATGATGCCATGGGATATTTAATGTTCACCTTAACAGGCTTACAGGACGTCAGTTTAAGCATCTCATCTGTAGGTTGGCACCTCAAACAATGCAGGTTCTCCAAGCATAGCATAGTGGAGTATCAATCAAGACACTGTGGGTTCAAGGTCTTGGGATTCATGAGAAGGAAGTTATGCAATCTAACACAGTCTGTTGGAAGTCATTCATATAATCATGTAAACCACCTGTAGTGATTCAGAGAATACATTCAATTTAAATTTTGTTTTACAGAATCAGGTTTACATTTGATGACAAAGGGCATATATTTGGTCAACAGATTCAATCGTTCCTTTGACTTCTTGGGTATTTATTTGAGTATTTTGTTATGGCAGCAACATTTGTTCAATTTTCCTTAAATTTCACACGTCTTCACAAAATATTTGTTTTCCTTAGCTTTATGCCAATTAAATATTGTCTTTGTTTCCAGTTTGGTATTATGTGGGGCTAATCCAATAACAATCAACAACAGTACTGACCAAGAATAACCTTTAAATGTCAAAGGCAAATGTCAAAAGAAACCGTTCTCTAAATCAGCAGTTTTATATGGCTTGAACAAATGTTCATTTTCAATGAACAATTGGTTCTGTTGCATATTTATTTATTTAGGGTAAAACCCACAAAAAAAAGTTATCATGTAAAAACGTTTTCAAAAAACTTAATCCAGCAATTTGTACAATCATTTGACTCAAGAATATCTTCAAAGAAAGTTCTTTCAGCAAAGGTCCAGTTCAATTTCGCCCACGTTATAGTCAATTCACTTTACAGTATATTCTGCAAAGCGCTTTGAGACATCTCGAAAACTTAATTAGGCGCTATATCAAATGCAAGGATTATTATTATAATTTGTATTTTCCTGCACTTTTCCCAAGCGATCTGGGACACCACCCTGTGTGAGGGACATTATATAAATGCAAGTTGTTGTGGGTGAACTGCTGCAAATAATGGAGAGTGAACACATCACTTAAAAAAATGCACTTCCATTCTATATACATGGCGCATGACTTAATTTTTAATTTAAAATATGCAAAGCACAAAAATCAGGCTTTCTATCACCAAAAAGTTTTATCATTGATATTCAGTAACGCATTTTTAGATTAGGGTATCTAATTTTGTTGTGTATAAAATAAAAATGGATCCTTGTATATTTTTATCTCTGCCAATTATGGACACATGGTTTTTAAATTTATTTTGCAGCCCCTATTGCACGATTCAGGGCTTCAGTGATATAAAATCTTTAAAACTTTAGTGTTGGAGTATGACTATGTATCACATTAAAGGATGCCGACGGTCTCAAGTAGCTGCTGAAATACTGAAGATAAAATATCATTCCCTCGTTGTCCAAGGAACTAAATGATTCAATTAAACTTCAAAGGCATCAAACTGATCTGATATTTTAAAGGTTGGTCTCATTTGTATTTACAGATCAGACCACTTGAAATGCCTGAGAATTGTTTCTGGATAAAAGCAAATGATGATCAATATGAAAGCCCTGACTTGTTTACTCGACTCGCTCTTACCTTTGGTTCTCAAAAACAAGGTATTGTATTAATGCGTCTATATTCATTCTTTCCCTCCTGCTCTCTCTTTCTCTCTGCCTTTATATCTGGCAGTTCCTCTAATTATTGTTTTTGTTCTACAGATAGCTATGTAAATATCATATCCTTATTAGACTTGTATATGTTCTTCACAATTTGCTACTAAATATGAGTCATTTTATAGAAATAAAATGTTGCACAAAGTTTAGTACTTTGAAAATCTTACAGTTGAGACAGGACATTTCCAGTGTTTCTGATATTGAAAAAGTATATTTTTTGCTTCAATGATGAGCTCATGCTAATCCTATATATTTTATTCCTATCATATCAATTTATCTATCCCAAACTAGTGTTTTTTCTTATATTTATAATTATAATCTTCATGCAGCACTGTAAAAATTCCTTAATCATTGATTGAAGCATTTTATTTATTGAATGGATATTTATATAAGGGGATCTCTGTTCAAGTTTTCTTGGCACTATTTTAAAAAACTCACTGAATTTGGTTACTTCTTAATGCACATTATAAGATTGAGGAAGAACAAGACAATCATGAGAAATGTACTAGTTTGTGTAGTACATTATTTCAGAACTACCACTGTGAGTTGAAGTGATGACATCAATCTTTCTTCTCTTATGTTTAACCTAAATTTCTACTGATGATGCTTTCCAAGTTGCATTTGTTAAAGAAAATAGACCTCACTTTATGAATCTTCAAAGTAACCATAGATTCTATTTGAGTGAAATCCACAGTCAAAAAAGTAATGTATCAAACCATTTAATTGATGGCTAATGAAACCCCAAATTATGAGTATTTTATATAACCCAAATATAAATAATAATCAAAGTTAAATGTACTTTTTGTGTCACATAGCTTTAAAGAAAATTAAGAGGAAACTATTTTCCACAAGAATATCTTGAATAATTATACTCCAGTCACATTTCTCAATGCCATTACTTAAAATTTACTGGTTGGTTTAATTAATGACTATCATATTTCTGACTGGGTGTTAGCATATAGTGCTTGCTGCTGGTTCTGTCTGAATTTACAAAACTGACTTAAAGTTGTCATTACCATCAAAAAAATGTCAGCTTTAAATTCAAATTAAATTGTTTCCAAATGCCAGAGGTAATCTTGGACGTTAATTTCAGTGGAGAAGCTTCTTAATATTTTGAATGTGTGAAGCTCGTAATTGTGCCTTTCAGCTGTAGACAGTCTGGCACATTTTGTAGGTCAATGTCATTCAAGGCATACAAAAACTTTTAAAGCCAGTGAGTCCACAAAAATGTCTTTGTGTCGCTATTTACTCAAATATTGTTGGATCTGAAAGAAGCAGTCTGGTGGCTTTATGAAGCAGCACAAACTTACTAGTAGTTGAAATTGTGCAATTGTGAATTCAAACTGGTTTGAACTTGTTTAATTGTGAACTTGTTCAACAGATTGATCTCTTTACACCCTGGCACTTCCCTATCTGTTTGATTACTCGCACCACAATCTTCCATCTGCCACCTTTGCTCAGCTGTCATGAGTCTACTGCATGTCCCTTGTCCCCTCTGCTTCAAAATTGGCGGCCGTGTTTTCAGCCATGATGCCTGAGTCTCTGGAACTTATTGCCTCAGTCCGTCTGTCATGTCTCTTCTCTGTCTGTCTCTGCCACACCTGAAGAATTTCCTCTTCAACTGTGCCTTCAGTTGCCCCTCACCCCTCTCCTTCCGTCTCAGCGTCTAGCCACTCCGCAGTTCCTGTGATACTATCTGCGCGAAGTGCACCATATAAACGCTATATAAATAGGACTACTGAATTCAAGCCCTCAGAGGATTGCATTCAGTAGTCTTATTCTCACTTTCAAATGCCTCCTTGGCCTTGCCCCATCCTTACCCTTTGTGACCTCTTTGATGGTCCTGGTCGCTGCATTAACTCAATAAATAAGGGCCCCTCCTCCCCCAGCTTTTCTTCCCAGGTAGAGCTCCCAGTGTGCTGTGGTGTTTTTAGAAGGTCTCCCGATGTGAAATACACAATATAAATGTTAATTGTTGTAGACTTGTATTTTCTTTTAGTAATAATAACTTATATTTGTAACATTTTATAATAGAGCTTGATAAAATCTAATTGATTAGAAGTGAAAGTTATTATATTGGCAAATTCAGTAGCTAATATAACACCAGCGATGTTCTATCATCTATAACATGATGGGGGGAGTTAACTTGTTTGATTTTTTTTGGATGAGGAGGAAATATAAGCCAGGATAACTGGAGGGAAATGTTACTTTTCTTTCAAATAACAACAGCAGAGTGGTTATCCCTTTACATTACACTTAAATGGAACCCAAATAATGCAATCAAAAAACCGGATGATGAATCTAGAAACAAGTAATAAAGTTCTAGATTAATAAAGAATGCTGTTATGCAGGCAAATGCGGCAGCTACTGTGTACCAACAAGGAGCGATGGCGCATGTACCTTATATGGTGCTAGTATTTCCCTTGTGTGCTTTTTGTTGTTAGTTTGTTATCATCTTCGTAACACCTCCTTAATACAGTCTCCTGATGTCACGGTTTTCGTCAGCTACAGAAAAGACTATCTAGTTCAGCATAGTAACAGAAAAATAACCTATCAATGTGTCAAAAGACGAGTGATTGTTAGGACTCATGAAATTTGGTGTGAATTGCAGAGAAAAATGGCTGAATGTGTTCAAATGCTTCACACAGAAAATACACAGACTTGGGGATCCGATTTTTAAATATAGAGGTCAAAATTGTGACAATGCAATATTATCATTGGTGATAATTATCACATCAACCCATTAAAATGTAATGTAAAGGGACAACCACTCTGTTTGACCCTGAACTATCCTTTCTCCCCCACATCCGCGCCATGACCGGCACTTCCTACCACCACCTCCGCAACATTGCCAGACTCTGCCACTGCCTCACCCCTCAGGATGCCGAAACCCTCACCCACGCATTCGTCACATCAAGGCTCGATTACGGGAACTTCCTCCTCATTGGCCTTCCCAACTCTTCCCTTCACAAGCTGCAGATCATCCAAAACTCTGCAGCTCGTGTACTCTCGTGCACTAGGCTTTGTGACCCCATCACTCCCACACTCTCCCGACTCAGCTGGCTCCCCATCCCTCAGTGGATCGAATTCAAGATCCTCGTCCTCACTTTCAAGGCCATCCACGGCCTTGTCCCCTCCTACCTCTGTGACCTGCTGACTCCCTACCAACCTGCCCGCTCCCTCCGTTCAGCGGGTTCCGGTCTGCTCCATGTCTCCCGCCCGACCCGCCCTACCATCGGTGACTGGGCTTTCACCCTCTCTGCCCCCACACTCTGGAACTCCATCCCACTGTCCCTGTGCCTCGCTGCCTCCCTTGCCTCCTTCAAGGCCGGTCTCAAGACCCTTATTTTCGATCGTGCCTTCAGTCGCCTTCCCACCTCTCTGCCTTCCCTCACCCCTACACCACCATGCTCGGGTCCCGACCCCGGACTGTCCAGCGCTTTGGTTCGTCCTCCTGACGTGAAAGGCTCTCTATAAATGTAATTTTGTTGTTGATAAAATGCCATCAAAAGCAGTCAGCAGTTATCACTGGCATTCCAGGGTGATCCCTCCTCTTCCTTCCTCGGTTCATTCCTCCCTGAGGCATTTGATTGAATTTTTGGTCAATATCATAAATATCACCAGTGATAATAACACATTCTCATGTTCTTTATAATTGTTCAAAACTACAAATTGATGAGAAATTGCCTGATAAGTTGCAATAGATCCAAAGTTGTCACAAGGTATATTTGGGCCTTGGAATAGTGAAGCCAAATTGCTCTGCAATTTTTCTAAGATGCCATAAATTAAGCAGTTTGCTGCAACAGATCTTATATCTGGCTCCTCCTGGCTCCTTCCTCACCGATATCTCCTCTCATTCCTGGCCCTCTGCACTGAACACCTGCTCATAATGGGTGAATTTAACCTCCACCTGAACTCCCCTTGTACTTCCTCCTCGGATTTCACTGCCCTCCTCTTCTCCCTAAACCCTCCACATTGACTCGCTGAACCACAACCGTGGCCACTTCCTCGACCTCGTCATCACACAGGGCCTTGATATTTCCTACCTGTCAATTACGGACAAAGCCATCTCGGACCACTTCCTCATCTCCCTCTCCTTCCGCATTCCCTCCCTTCTTCCAAACCCTCCACCATTTGTTTCTGACCCTGGAAAAAGCTTCCCCCTGAGTTCCTCACAAATGCCCTCTTTTCCTCGGGCCTCCTCTCCCTCTGGCCCTCCACCCGCTGCGATCCTGATGCAGCAATCAAGCTGCTGAACGACCGTCTCTGCAGAACCTTCAATTCCCTGGTTCCTCTGAAATCCAACTCTACCTTTCCTCCTCTACCCTCAACTCCACGACCACCGATGTCCTGACAGCCTGCCTGTCTGACATTGAGTCCTGGACGAGAGACAACTTTCTTCAGCTCAATGTGCATAAAACTGAGGCCCTCCTGATTGGCTCACGTCAGCGCCTCCGCACCTCAGGCGCTGACAGCATCAGCATCCAAGGCTGCACTCTCCACCTCTCAAACCCAGTCAGGAACCTCGGTGTCCTGTTCGACCCTGAGCTGTCCTTTCTCCCTCATATCCACGCCACAACTGGCACCGCCTTCCATCACCTCTGAAATATCGCCAGACTACGGCACTACCTCACCCCTCACGCTGCTGAAACTCTGGTCCACGCCTTTATCACCTCAAGGCTGGACTATGGGAACTCTCTCCTCGCCGGCCTTCCCGGCACCTCCCTCCACAAGCTGCAGGTCATTCAGAACTCTGCAGCTCGTGTATTGTCCCGCACCAGACTTTGCGACCACATCACTCCCACCCTCGCTCACCTCCACTGGCTCCCCATCCCCCAGAGGATCGAATTCAAGATCCTGAATCCTCGCTTACAAGGCAATTCACGGCCTTGCACCCTCCTTCCTCTCTGACCTGCTATCTGCCTACTTACCCGCCCGTACCTTCCGTTCCTCTGGCTCCGGTCTGCTCCACATTCCCTGCCCCAACCACCCTACCATCGGTGGCCGGGCCTTCAGCCTCTCAGTCCCTAGGCTCTGGAACTCTATTCCCCAGTGCCTTCGCCTTGCCTCCTCCCTTTCCTCCTTCAAGGCCGGTCTCAAGACCTTTCTCTTTGACTGTGCCTTCAGCTCCCCTCTCGACTCTCTACCCCCTCCTCGCTCCCTCCCTTCCCTCCCCTCACCCTGACAATTTCCCCCCTGCTCGAGTCCTGACCCAACTGTCCAGCGCCTTGGGACGTCCTCCCGTTGTTGTTTCCAAACTCACCCTCTCTCCCTGGTACAACAATCATCTCGGCTCACTCAAAACACAAACCTCCACACCTTCCACCTCTCCCTTTCACAGGCCAAAACTGACTTTTACTCCAAAGTCATCCTGGAGACAAACAACAATCCTAAGACACTGTTTTCCACCGTCCATCACCTCCTCCGTGCGGCTTCTCAAGCTCCCTTGATCCTCATGTCAAATGCCAAGCATGAAGAGGTCCTAGACTTGCCTCAAAAGTGAAAACATCTGCTCGGCTGCATCGTCCTATCCTCCCATGTCCCCTTCCACCACACCCAGACCATCCACACCGTCTTCTCCCTCCGTCACAGCTCCTGCCATTCCCCTCTCCTTACACTCCTTTACCCCCATTTCTCCCTCCTCCCTCTCAGCCACAATCACCTTGATGAAGTTCACCACCTGCTACCTTGACCCCCTCCCCACCTAGCTTCTGGTCACTCAACTCCCCCTTCTAACCCCCCTGCTCCCGATATGGTCAACCAGTCTCTCTCCTCAGGCTCTGTTCCACTCCCCCTGAAAACCGTTGTCATTACACCCCTCCTCAAAAAAAACACCTTCAATCTCTCTAGTCTTGCACACTACAGTCCCATTTCCACCCTACTCTTCGTTGTCAAAGGCCTCGAATGCATTGTTGCAGGTCAACTTCGGTCACACCTCTCCCTCCAAGAGCCCCTGCAGTCTGGTTTTCGCCCTGCGCACAGTACAGAGACAGCACTTGTCAAAGTCACAAACAAAATTCTCTCTATCTGTAACCAGAGCTCCTCCTCGTCCTCCTGGATCTCTGCTGCGTTTGATACAGTCGACCACACCATCCTCCTCCATCGGCTCTCCTCCCTCACCTACCTTAGTGGGACAGCACTTGCATGGTTCGAGTCCAACTTAACAAACGCCTCCATTTCATCTCAGCAAATGGTTTGTCCTACAATCCCTGCACGGTGACCTGCGGGGTGCCTCGGGACTCCATCCTTGACCCTTTTCTTTTCCTTATTTATATGCTCCCTCTGGGCGATGTCATCCACAGACACAGGGTAAACTTGCACATGTATGCGGATGACACAATCTACTTTGCCTCCTCCAGTACCAACTACAGGTCGCCGATATTCTTTCAGCTTGTCTGGCAGACTACAAGGCCTGTATGAGTGGTAAACTTCCTGCAGCTGAATATGGACAAGACGGAAGCCATACTCCTTGGCTCCATCAACGTCTTCACACCTGCGGATCTAAACTCCTCAACCTCCCTGGCTCTCCATCAGACTCACCGAAGCAGTGCACAACTTTGGCGTCCGGTTCGACCCCCAACTGTCCTTCCTTCCCCATATCCGGTCCCTTACCAGGACCGCTTTCTTCCACCTCTGCCACATTGCCCGCCTCCGACCCTACCTTACCCCAAATACAGCCGAAACCCCTGTGCATGCTTTTGTCACCTCTCGCTTGGATTACTCCAAAGCCTTCTCGCTGGTCTCCCTAGCTCCACCATTCACAAGATCCAGCTCATTGCTGCCCACATACTGACCCCGACCAAACTCCACACCCACATCTGACCAGTCCTGGCCAGGCTCCACTGGCTCCCCATCACCGATCGGATCAACTTCAAGATCCTTACTCTCGTGTTCAAATCCATTCACTCCCTGGCACCTCCCTACCTCTCCAACCTTCTCACTCCCAATCCACCACCTGGCACCACCGCTCGACTGGCACCAGCCTCCTGCTCGGGCCTCGCACCCTCCGCCCCACCAATGGAGGTCGTGCTTTGAGACACTACGCCCCAAAACTCTTTCCCTCAATCCCTCCGCCTTGCCCCCTCTCCTTTCAGGTCCTGTTCGACCGTGCTTACGGCCACCTCGCCCCTTCCCATGGCTCGGAGTCAGGCTCTGTCACTTTTAAGCGCTCTGAGACGCTACCCCACGTGATGGGCGCTACATACGTGCAAGTTGTTGTAGTTATATATTAGGTTTGAAGCAGTTGTTATCTTAACCTTTGTCAAGTTTTGAGTTGGACACGCTTTGGTTCCGTCATAAATCTGTGGATTTATGCAAACCATTTGCAATATTTTCACTCAGGCTTACTGATTTATTTGACAGGATTTAAACCATAGGTTGTAAGACCATGCCAGGAACAGGCACCGAGTTCGCAATCACATCACAGTCCAGGATGATGGTGATCTGCCAGTTATTTGTACTTTTAATTTTTCTCTCTCTATCCATGTAAGTGCCAAACTCCATGCAGTTTGTGATGAAGGTCATTGACGAACACAAATGCTTTCAATATTTATGCAGTAAAATCTACGTAAGTCGTATCAGTCGGGACCATAAGATTTAATATGACTTACGCGAAGTTCAAGTTGCAGGCAAACTGTGAATTGTGTAAAGTCTGATTTCAATCAATAATCTACACTGTGC